ATGTGCGTGCGGCTTCCGCGTGCCTTGAGCACGACAAAGCCTTGCGCGCAGGCGAGTGTTGTTAACCACGGTGACGTAGGTGACTGTGGGGGTGGCGACGGTGCTGGATATGTAACGCTCCGATCCCACCATGTGCTGGCCGCAACAGCTGTCCAGGTACCAGGTATTGTAGCGCTTTCTGTCGTCACGTGCGAGCAGCGCCAGTCGCAGTGTGACGATGTGCGGAGTGTCGAACTTCAGAAATTGCTCGTGGGAGAGCCAATCAAGTGGCGCCACCCGCATGTCAGGTACGTGCGGGGGACTTTCAAGCAGCGGGACTGGAAGATTCCAGTCCTGGTCGTCGTCGTCGGTAAATTCGCGGCGCGGACTGAACGGGTTGTTGTTGGAGAATGCGCCAATGGGGTGCGGTGCTGACCCGGGTGATGGTGAGCGCATGCGGCGACGACGCGACTCACCTGTCATGGCCATGTTGCTCATGACATTGCGTACTGGGGCAGTCGATGATGGCTGCTGCTGCTGATGCTGAACCGCTAGGTTCAGGTTGCGCGCGGGTGGGGGCTGATACCCCTGGGCTGGACGCACGTCGCCTCGTGCGTCTTGTCGGCCGGACCAGTTACTCGTATTGGTCTGGCGAGGGCAAGATCGGAACTTGCATCGATCCGCCAAATGATTGAAGTTTCTGCAGATTTTGCAGTAGAGGCGCCGCGGTCTTCGTTGTTGTCGGCGTAGAAGGCGAGCCGTTCTCGTTCTCGTCGTGGCGCTGGTCGCTGCTGATCCATATCCCTTTGTTCGACGAGAAGGGCGGCGCAGAGGGCGGCCTCCGAGATGACCCCCTGCAGTCGGAGAAGCGCCTTACAGGGCCGCCACTCTGGGCCGAGCCCTTGGAGCACGATATTCACGAAGATCTCCTCAAAGATCGTGCTCCCAAGTTTCGCGATTTGATCGCGTAAGCTCCAACAGCGATTCAGGTAACTGTTGACCTTCTCTCCTGTTGCCATCTTTGATTCTAGTAGCTGCTGGAGTAGGTGGCTTGACGACACTGAATCCTTAGGTAGAAACACGCCGTTCAGGTGACGCCAGGCGTTCAGGGCTGGAGCAGACGATGTTTTGTATGAGCGAATGCTCAATTGCTCCGGCGGCGACATATTCCGTAGAAGAACCCCGTACGCCATCAGAGACTCGTTGCAATACTTGTTTCGTGCGTCGTCAGTGTCCTCTGTGGGTCCCGAGTAGCTCCCGTCAAAGTAGTGAAAAATCTGCGCGTTTTGCAGCAGCAGTTCTAGCTCGAAGCTCCAAGTATAGAAGTCTCTGCCGTCAAAGCACACACATGTCTTTATTTTTGATATGCTCGGAAACCTTGATCGCGCATAGATAATTGCTTCATCACTGGGACAGGTAGTCTTGGGTGTTGAGCCATTTGTGTCAAGAGAGAAGCCTTGCGAGGCGGAGTTCTGGCCGTTTGAGACCGGTTGAGTGGGTTGGGATGTAGTTCCCGCGTCGCCATTCCGCAATGTTTGGAGCCCTTGCTCTAGGCTCGTGAGTCGCTGAAGCAGTTGTGCGAGGACTTCAGTTCCGATCGTCGTCGTTTCCTCGCTTGTCGCAGCCGGGTTGGGCTGCGCTTCAGCCGTCAGATTCGTCTGACCTCCAGATCCTCCGGCCATTCTGACACGCGATCGTGTGCCGGACGCCACTTTCCGAATGTCGTGGATTTCGGAGATGGCGGTGCGAAGGTTTCCTGAGTCGCTCTCATACCATGTTGCGATCAGAAAGAGATCGTAACCAGGATCACCTCAAGAAGGTTCGCACACTTTTGTTCTAGTGGTGGTGTGCTCTTGACCTCAATAGCAGAGTGAATGTAAAATGCTTGAGATAATTAAAGCATGCGAATACATGAAATATAAATATGAGTATAGGGAAGATGAATCGACCTAGCTAGCCATGTACTCTAAGGGGTACATTCCCTTATTCAAATTCATTCCCAACCATGCGGCGCGAACAGTTACGAAACTGTTCCCGCCAGGACCCTCTTGTCTGCATCTGCCCGATGCTTTCTGCTCCGACGGTCCAGATGCAGCCCAACCGTCTGACGCTTCGAGTCAACTCTGACTCTTCGCATTCGTTCTCGATACTGCGTGCTTCCTTAGCTGCGGTGAGGAGTGCACAGTAATGTTCAAACATTACTATTTGTAACACTATCGTTCAAACAAAAAACCGAAGTGGGGGTCTGGCGAACGCTCCCATTTATCGATCAAATCGAACTCCTCGACGGCATATGGAAGCGGGGATGCAATTTCGTCCTCAGGCAAAACTCCCTCCCCAGGCAAAACTCCCTCCCTAGGCTATGCCATTGCCATACCCCGTTTTTCAAAGGACAGCGATGACACATCGATTGCATTGCCGTTCAAAGCCCTTGGTGGGAAGGTGGGGTTGGAGGTTTCCCGATGCGGTTGCGTAATTTCCCGTTTCGGCAGCAGAAGTTTCTCGAGTGGCATTACGCCCAAACCTCTGAGGTGGGTTCCGCCTCCGTTTCCGGATGCGGTCACGATGCCGATGCCATCTTTTTCATTAAAAAATTCGATTTGCTGGCGAACAACACCCTTGGTTATATCGCCAAACATTGCCCAGCCCACCTTCCACCCGCGCAGCAATTGCGTTCTTTTTACTTCGAATCTGCAAGGAAAGCAACAGGAAATTCTTGGTTTCCTTGAGTTGCCTTTAGTTGGGTTGGGTCGGGTCGGGTTACCCTACCTGGTCGACCCGACCCAACCCAACCCTGTTGGGTCGCAACACGTCGTTACCAAACCGCCAACGGTGTGGCGACGAGAACTCCAGCAGAACAGCGCCATGATCATTTCCGGACAACGACCACACAGAAAGGCAAAACGAAAGAATAGAGGTGTCGAGCTGGAGTGCACGATTTGCATGCTGCCATCATCATCATCATGAGTCGACGGTCATGTTGGCAGCCGAGGGTCACACAAAGTTGCGAAGTTACCTGTGAAGGAGGAGTTCTCGCCGCGTCACACGCACTGCAGCAGAAACCACACTTGCTGCTTATCGACGTGTACCATTTTCCACACGACTCTCGTATGTAGTAGGCACCATCTTTATGCTAGGATTGGGTAACGAGCAAAATTCCCGCAACAACAGTGCACAGGGGACGTGTTTAGGGTTGCCACATATGTCAAGATATTTCTGGAGCACGTGTCTGGGCCCCAAGACTGCAGTGAACACCACCTCATATGGCTTTCGTCTGCAGTGGCAAGTCAAGTCTCATCTCAATCGCTTCCCATCCCATCCCACACGGGTCGATATGGCAGCATCGTCCGAAGGACCGCACTGGTCGTCGTCGTCGTCGCCCGACATCGGGCCGCGCTGAGTCATGGCGGCGCCCCCGGCTCCACGCGCGTCACACGCGAGACCTCCTCTTTGTCGGCAACATGGTTTAGCTGAGATCCACCATTTCGTGCTCCGCCACTTCCATCGTCCCGCAAGAAGACTAATACTAGTATGGCAGGCGGTTCAGGTCCAAGTATCTCGAAACACGGTGACCTCCAAGTCGAGTCGAATTTCAAAGGTACTGAAAACTTCTCTAGTCGTGTGGATTCTGTGTCCGCCAAAGCGTTTCGCACAGTCAAATTTAGACTGCAAATACAAATCTTGGGAACAGGCTCAGCCTTTCCCAGGCGGCCCGAGCAACACCAACCGCGACAGCAGCTCCGAGAATTCTTAAAAGTGGCACAACGACTCAACCGTGGCCGCTGCATCAGCAGCCGTCTGCACGACCTTCACCCTCACCACACCTCCACTGCAGTCGTTGCTCAGCTTACCACGTCTTGCCTTCCTTCTTCCGTCTGAAGAGTCATGGGCGACCAAGACCGGCGCAGCTTCTCCTTCCCTCCGCCGCTGCTGCACCCCCGCCTGCCACTGCTGCTGCTGGCGGGGCTGCTTCTGCTGCCGCTGTGCGCTGCCGCCACTCGCATCAACGACGCCGAAGGTCGCTCACTCCTCCCCCTACCTACCTCTCCTCGCCTCTCACTTTCCCCCGCTCTACCTCACTCTACCCCACTCTACCAAACTCCCCCATTTCCCTCATGATTCCAAATCTCCCCCTCTTACTACTACCCGCTGTAACCCATACATAGCCTCCTCCTTCCCGCTGATTTACCTCCCCTACCTCCAGCCCCATCCCTCTCCCTCAAACGGCCCTTTGATTTATACTCCAGAGAAATACAGACATGCAGGTGGGAATAAACAAATAAACAAATAAACACCATCATCCACTCCAAGGGAGTTCCAAGGCGGGCTCCAGTAGGGCAAGGCAGTCCCCCAGGGACATGTCCTCGCATGGGGCTCCCACAGGCGGGTTCTCCACCTGGGTTGCCTCGTTACACTTTGTCATGTAGCTTACAGATTGCCCGCGTTGCAGTGCTACCGACCAGCGGCGCTGGCAGAACTTCGCAGCCTGATAGGTAAGATCATGTTGGTTCGGGGGTGAAAAGTTCTTCGGGCCACCGTCTCAGCAAGCAACTTGAGGAAGGTGGGGGCTTCATCGCATGGGCATCTGTACGCCTCAACGGCGAGCGGTAAAAACACAACGTAAGAGTTGCGGTAGTTGGCTACTTTCTTTGCTGCCGCTTCCCCAGCCGCCCAGCCCCTTCCTTTCACGGGGTGACTTTTGAGTCGACTCAAAAGTCTTCTCCAGCTGCTCAGCCCCTTCCTTTCACGGGTCACGAGTGCTGATTGGGTCGGTGATTGATAGTCCCATCACCAACCCAAACTGCCCCTGAGGACCGAACCCGGATTGCTAAATCCGCCTTGCGGTTGCCAACCGGGTGGAAAACCGGCGTCTTGCACCATCCGGACACACTCGTCCGTGAGTTCGTTGTGAGTGTTTGTTCTCCCTCCCCGCTGCTATGCTCCCTCGCTGCTATGCCCCCGCGCTGCTATGCTCCCTCTTTGCTATTCCACTTTTCCTGTTTCGTCCACACCCAATTAACATGCACACTGCTCGCTCAGGTCCCAACTCACCCCCCACCTCTCATCATCCCTTCCCGCTAACCTCCATCAGGGACTCCCTCCTGCCTCACCCCTCTGCCCTCTTCGGCCTTCCCTCCCCCTTCCCTCCCCCCACCCTCCCCCCTGCCCGTCCCCTGCCCCCCGCCGTTCCCCACGAGCCCCTGGCAGCGCGGGTGCTACAGGAGTGCGCTGCAGCATGGAACTTTTCGGGATGGGGCGGTTGGCCGAGCAATTGGCGCGTGGGGGGCGACTGTGACGCGGCAGATTACATTAAATGCGACTCCAACGGGTTCATCACTGATTTGATTCTCGACGACACGCCCTACCTTGATTGGGGGTCTGATTACGGCGGAAGGCCAGATGAAAGGTACGAAGGAGGAGATGTGGGGAGAGCGGATGTGGAGAGAGGATGGAGGGAGGGAGGGAGGGAGGGGAGGGGTGAGGGCGGGAGGGAGGGAGGGAACGGGGGAGGGAGAGGGGGAGCGAGGGGTGGAGGGAGGGGGCGAGGGAGGGAGGGACCCAGGGGAGCGGAAGTGGACACCAGTTAGGCGCCATTGAAATAATACGTGGCAGCAACTTCGGTTCAACACCTGGTGAATGTCAGTAGCACTTTGAAAAAAAGTATTGTGTAAAAATCACGGTGGTGGGCCACAATGGCCACTGACATTTCGTCAGTATGCTGTAGCTGAGCTTCACTCTTCTGTTGCTTCTGTGCCTGTTTGTGTATGCATGTGTGCGTGCGTGCGGGTGTGTGTCTGTGTGTGTGGTTGCTTGTGTGTGCTCAACACAACACAACAGGTGGATTGAATTGCCACATCTTACTGGATCCATCCCAACATCACTTGGCACTCTCACCTCTCTCACCTACCTGTACATCTCGCAGCTTTCTAAACGCCTCTCAGCTGTCTGTGCACTTCCCTCACCACTCTGTATACCGCTATGCTGTTCCAAAGCGAGACATGCAAGCATTTTGCATCGCCTTCATGCCTTACCACTCTCTAACCTCTTCTACCACTCTACATGGACCCATACGCTTTCACACATACTTGCTGTGTGATCTTTGAGGCATCTCGAGGCTACTTCTGTATCACACACATCTAGGGGACCCTGCGTGTGCAGTAGCCACTTTCTTTTCCTGTCCAGCAGTAGCCCTTTCCTGTCCAGCAGTAGCCCTTTCGTTTCCTTTCCTTCCCGATCCCACCTGCCCTTTCTAGGCACTCCTCATTCCTCGAAACACCTCCGGGGGGACGAAGCACTCGGAGGGTAAAAAGGGCATCTCTTCATCTGTTGCATTATTTATCGTGTCTCACCCCATGGTCCATCTCTTTATTTCTCAAGCCTCACCCCCTCTCCGCTGTGCTACGACTTATGCCGCAACCCTTTTCAGGCTCCTCACCAGCAGCGGTATCCCTCCCTGCATCTGCCCTCTGTACTCCGTCCCCACCAACGCCACAATGCACTTTCTGTGTGCTGTGCTGCAACTTGCGCAGAAATATGCGGCACAACGCCATAGAGGGCCCCATCCCGGCATCTTTCAGCATGCTCACCTCTCTCGTCTACCTGTAAGAGGCAGGTTGACACATGTAGGGCCGTGGGAGGGAGGGAGGGAGGGAGGGAGGGAGGGAGGGAGGGAGGGAGGGAGGGAGGGAGGGATTGAGGGGAGGGGAGGAGGGGTTAACCCTCTGCCCTCTGCCCTCTGCCCTCTGCCCTCTGCCCTCTGGCTTATGTTGGCTGGGAGGGCCTTCATTTCCTCGTTATTCTTGTGTGTGTTGAAATGTCTGTGTCTCTCACTTCACCCCTGCTTTTTCCTTCTCTCTCCTTCATTTTGTGCATTCTTGCATTAGAACCTATTGTTTTTTACTTGGGAACTGAGAACTGACTCGCACCTGTGTGCAAATGTGCCCTCGGAGTGTGACTGTCTCTGTCTCACTCTTCTGCATTCCTCACGTGTCTACAGCCTGAAAACCCTCTCCTGCTCTCTCTTGCTCTCCCGTTTCAAATCCTGTCTGTCTGTCATGACCCACCTCAGCAACTTCTAGAACGCAACGTCCTGATTTCCACTCCCACGTTGCTATGCCATGCCTACTACCATGCCTGCCTCGCATGTCTGACTCATCATGTGTCTCGCTCCCATGCCATGTCTCACTCATATGCCATGCTTTACACCCATGCCATGTCCCTTTCCTGTACCATGTCTCACTTTTATGCCATGTCTCACCCCTATCCTTTCATCATATCATTGGGGAATGTAGTATTGGCAGCTGTAGCGTTGGGTATCACAGCACAGCATTGGGCATCAAAGCACTAGGCAACGCAGCGTTGGGCTGCGCAGCATTGCGTAGCTCAACATTGGGCAAGGAATTGAGGGGCGCAGCATTGAGCAGCACAGGATTGGCCAGCGCAGCATTGGGTAGGATTGGGCAGCATTGGGCCAGCGCAGCATTGGGCAATGCAGCACTGGGCAAGATTGGGCCAGCGCAGCATTGGGCCCGCAGCATTGGGTTGGCACAGCATTAATCAATGCAGCATTGGCCAAGGCAAGAGTGTGCAAAGCATCATGTGCAGAGCACCAATAAACAGTGCATTGTTTGACAATGCAGTATTGGGCTGTGAAGCATTGGTCAAGCAGCGCCACATTGGTCAGCATGGTATTGGGCAACGCAGCATTGGTCAGCAGAGCATTAGACAACGCAGCAGTGGGCAGGGCAAGGATGGGCAATGCAGCATTTGGTAGTGCAGCGTTTGGTAGAGCAGCATGTGGTATCACATCTGGCTGTGCAGCATTGGCCAGCACAACATCGAGCAGCGCAGCAGCGTGCATACACTACAGGGCATGGCAGCATTTGGTACGCACAGCATTGACAAAGCAACGCTGCTCAACGAAGCAATATTCAGCGATTATTGGGCGCAATGTTGCATTGAGCAACACGGCAGTGGGCAACGCAGCAGTGGGAAGCGAAGCACTGGATAGCGCAGCATGAAACAGAACAGCACGGGGCAGCATGGGGCAGTCCAGCATTGGGCCATGCACCATGGGGCAGTCTAGCATTGAGCAACACGATTCTGGGTAGCACAGTATAGGCAGTGCAACATAGTCTCATGCCATTTCTCCACAACCCTCCATCTCCCATGGCCCGCATGTCCCCATCGCAGCTATCTCTCCAACAACCAGCTGTCTGGTGCCATTCCACCTGACATAGGCGCCCTCACGGCCCTCCAAGAGCTGTGAGTGTGCCAGTCATTGGCAACCAAGAAACCATTGATCACCGAGCAACCCATGCCTCCCTCCCATATCATGTCTCACTCCCATGCTGTCATCATAACCCCCACTTGCCATGCCAACGTCCCGCGTATCCTCCGTCGCAGCGAACTCTCCAACAACCAGCTGTCTGGTGCCATTCCCACTGGCATAGGCTCCCTCACATCCCTATATTACCTGTGAGTGTGCCAGTCATTGGCAACCAAGCAGCCATGGGCGACCAAACAACATAGGCATTGTCACTCATGCTTGGAAGCGCAGCAACCATATGCCACTTAAACAAGCGATAAAGCTAAAGAACAGAAGAAAAGAAGTTAGCAGAAAAAAAATTGATGACAAAAACTGCTTCACCAAAAGAAATTATGGTGCAACTTGTAAAGGGAGTTGGAGACCGAATTCGAGCCACCTCTCCTAGAGGTATGACGACCTCAAGCGTCTTCATCAGGGCCGTTAATAAGCCATGCATCGCCATGTCTCAGTCCCATGTTGTCACCTTACCCCCCACGTGCCATTCCAACGTCCCATCTCCCCTGGCTCGCATGTCCCCCATCACAGCAAACTCTACAACAACCAGCTGTCTGGTGCCATTCCTCCCACCATAGGCGCCCTGACATCCCTCGAAATCATGTAAGTGTGCCAATTATTGTCAACCATCGATCACCAAGTAATCCATGCCTTCCTCCCATACCATGTCTCAGTCCAATGCTGTCACCATTGTTGACGGGAGTTGACCCCGCCCTCGCTTGGGCGATGCTGATTTCGTGGTCGGGTGTGCTGGAGGTGCGACCGACCGTCCGCAATGGGCGACGCCGACTTGGGCGGGTAGGTCGTCCAAGTTGGTTGACCTGCGGGGGCCGCTGCGAAGCCGCTGACGAGGGAGATCGGTGGCCGACTTAGACTGAAGTGGTTGACGAAGGAGTTCGTCGAACTGAGGGCGCTGACTTGAGGGTTCCGACCTAGAGGGTGACGGGGCGTTACCCGGTCGACCTGGTCCATCTGGTCAACGATGGCGTAACCAGGAGGGCGGCGAAGTCCTGCAAGTGTGCGCGGACGCCGCCTAATATATTCTGGCAAAGCCGACCTCTGGCTAGTATCCCGAGGTGGATGTGGTGCATCAGGCGCAACCATTGGCACGTGGCTGGCTCGACGCATGCGCAGTGCTCGGGGTGGGGCGCGACATGCTCAATCGCTTAGATGCATCCGCGAAGTGGGTGCGCACATGCGTCTACAATCACCTGCGGTTGCATTGCAACGCTGGCAAGCCGCCTTGCTACAGCGTTGGCAAGCCGCCCTGGTGCCGCGTTGGCAGGCCGCCGACTTGCTTTGCTGGCGGTCGACCTGCCTGCTTGTTTGGTTGCTTGGCTCTGATGTAGCCATTGTTGTCCAACACTTCTTGCATCTTTGTACCAAAATTTTGCTGGTGACACTCTTGCAAATTCGTTGTGTAAATGCACAAGTAGAGGGAACACAAACATACGTCATGATCACTCGCACCATCCGTCTTTTCCCCGTAGTCCAGCTCCCAACGGTGTAGAGTGACTCTCGCAAACATACCCCCCACGTAGCCCTTGTCCTACTCACTCCCCATCTTTCCTGGTCCGCTTGCCCTCATCGCAGGAATCTCTTTAACAACCAGCTGTCTGGTGCCATTCCTTCCACCATTAGTACCATCACATCCCTCAAAGTCATGTAAGTGTGCCAATCATTGTCAACCAAGCAGTCATAGACAACCACGCAGCCCATGCCTCAATCCCATGCCATGTCTCACTCCCATGCCACACCTCACAACATGCTCACTGAAAGCATTCTCACGGAAATGAGCAACTTGGTTCAGCTTGAGGGCCTGTCAGTGGAACCAACCCCCTGTCCCTGTCCGCGCCAGTCCATACCATGCTCTGTTGTAACTCTCCACTCATACATTCCTGCAATGATTCATGCATGCATGCATATGCTCTCACATTCCCATGCTTTCTTATTCCTTGTGCCCTCCCCACACCTCACATGCAACCTCTCTCGTCTCTCCTGCTCTCTCATCCCCTGCTCTCTCATCCCCTGCTCTCTCATCCCCTGCTCTCTCATCCCCTGCTCTGTACCTTTCCATTCCAGTCGGTCTCCACTGTACCCTCAATAGTCACCTTGGTCCTCTGAATGCGCCCATCACAGGGCTCTGGAGAACAACAAGCTGGGAGGCTCCATCCCTGACGCCTTGAGTACCCTCACTAACCTGGATCACCTGTCAGTCGCTCGCCCCCTCCCACGCCCTTCCCTGCCTCACAGCCCGTTCATACCCTTCCCTCAGCTTCATGCCACAACTGTGCATCACTCTCCCTCGTGCGCACGTGTCTGCATAGAGAGAATGAGCCACTTGGCACTGTTTTGGCTTTCCCTTCACTCAAACAAGAGTTTCTCCACACAGCTAGTGTGTGATTGCATTTACTTCTTGCCGGGTGCTGCGTGGTGCTCTCAGGTCCATGGAAAACAACGAGCTGGAAGGGACAATCCCTGCCTTTCCCTCTTCATTCACAAAACTCTCCCACCTGTCAGTGCTCCCACACGCTCACCTGACAAGGCGTAGCCACCAGAACCGATCGACCACAGAACCCACCCAGATTCTCTTTCCACACCCTCTCCTTCGTCTATCCTCCCTCACTCCCTCCTTGCTGGCTGCCCTTGCCCTACCACCCCCCAGTTTGCTCTACAACAACCAGCTCTCAGGCTCCATTCCTGCTGACATTGGCAACCTTGCTGCTCTAAAGATACTGTGAGCATTGCACTGCACCACACTGCACTGAACTTTTCTCCCTTCCTCCTTTTCCTCTTCATTCTCTCCTCCCCCGACGATTTGCCTGCTCCATTTTTGGTTCCATGCTGCATCCTTGCTCTTCCTTTCATTGTGCACCGCACCACACTGCACTGCAATGCACTTTTCTCCCTTCCTCCCTTTCCCATTCTCTCCTTTCCCACTCATTCTTTCCTTCCCCCACAAATTACCTCCTTGCTGCGTCCTTGCTCTTCCTTTCATTGTGCTCCCCCTCCTTGTGTGCACACACTTACCTCTTCAAACTGTTCACACACACTTATTCACTGTTCACTTACATCTCCCTATTGCTGTGCTGTCTACCACACTCTAACTCTCCATACCGCTAATCCCGATACATCGCCACCCTTCGTCTCGTCTCTGTTCTGCGCCCTTCTCTTCTGATATCTCGCCCAGTGTGCTATCCAACAACAAGCTGACAGGAGCCATACCCACTTCTATTGCCGCCTTGACGAACCTCACTGTCCTGTGAGAGAGGGAAGGAGGGGGGAGAGCGACTGAGTGTGCAAGGAAGGTGTAGCGAGAGAGGTGCAGATTAGTGGTAACCATGTGGATGTCTTCACGAGAGACAGAGGGAGAGGTGGTTACCACATCGCCCATCCGCACGTGATGTTCTTGAAAAATCGTCACTACTCTAGTCGTGATATCGTTTCGTTCCGCACACATAGCTTCCTCTTGTCATGCTGTCTGGAAGAGTCTATCAACTCAATCGTTAGGGTGTGGTACAGCTTGAACAAGAGGTTTGGATGAACGAATCTGTAACAAGCTCTTGACAACATGTCAAAATGGTTATCTGCCGTGTGTTATGCTCATTCATGGTTTGAACTGCTTTTAAACAATTCTGTTCCACACCCTTCCATGCCATTCAATCCATGACATGTTGTGCATGCCATGCCATCCCACCCCATGCCACCTCTCGACTCAAAATGCGCGTTACCACTCTCCTTTCTATACCGCTTTCCGCGACACACCTCCACACCTCTACCCTCTCTTCTGAACCCTCTTCCTCCTTCCTACTCTTCCTCCTCGCCCAGTGAGCTATCCAACAACAAGCTGACAGGAACCATACCCACTTCTATAGGCGCCTTGACGAACCTTTGTGGCCTGTGAGGGGGAGAGGGAGGGAGGGAGAGAGGGGGACGAGCGAGTGAGTGTGCAGGGAGGGGGTAGTGAGAAAGGTGCAGATTAGTGTTAACCACATGGATGTTCTCACAAGATAGCAAGGGAGGTGGTTACCATATATTGAGAAAGGTGGTTACCAGATATTGAGAAAGGTGGTTACCAGATATTGAGAAAGGTGGTTACCAGATATTGAGAAAGGTGGTTACCAGATATTGAGAAAGGTGGTTACCAGATATTGAGAAAGGTGGTTACCAGATATTGAGAAAGGTGGTTACCAGATATTGAGAAAGGTGGTTACCAGATATTGAGAAAGGTGGTTACCATGTCGGACGTACTCATGTGAGAGTTTAAGAATTCGCAACAACCGTCATTGTGCACATAGGGTCCTCCTCTTGTGGTGTTCTGAGATATCTAAATAACTTCATGCCATGCCATGCCGTTCACCCCATCCCACCTGACAAATCTAGCTACCTGAACGACAACAAGCTTGAGGGATCCATTCCAAGCACCATTGCTCAGCTGCAGAACCTTTCATGGCTGTACGAAAGAGACCCTAGCTGCTCAATTTTCTCTTCCATGTTGCCATACGCATGCAACGTTGCAGGTGGCTTTTAAAAATCCCGAAATGGTCTTAAAAACGTTGCATCTCTTATGTAAGTCTCAATTTCGCACTGCTCTTCAGGTGCTTTTCAAGTGCTCGCCACATTATATCACGCCTCACATTCACCACTTTTCTCCTGCCCCTCTCACCCAACGCCTACCCCGCTCACCACGCCTCACATGCACCAATCTCCTCCTACCCCACTCATCACACACCTACCCCTCTCTCCTCGCCCCATCTTCCCACCAGTTCCCTTTCCCGCAACTCTCTTACTGGCAGCCTCGACAACCTCTCCTCACTGATCCATCTGCAGGGCCTGTGTGAAACCACTCCTGTTCTCCATCCACCCCCTCCCATCTACTCTCCCAAGCACCTCTATCTCTTTCCCCCTTCCTCTGATTCGATCACATCCCTGAACCTCCCCTCCCTCCTCAAGAAATCCTCCTTTCCTTGCTTCCAGTTGATCCCTACATCTTCCACACTTTCCCACCATCTCCCCCCTCCTCCCTCCATTGCATTGCATCCATTTGCACCGCACATCACCCAGGGATCTATCCAACAATGCCATTTCCGGCCCGATCCCCGCCGCCCTGGGGGACCTCGTCTACTTATATGATCTGTGAGCTATACGATCCAACTAATGTGCGTGAGGGGGAGTGTGATGTGCAGGTGGGTGCCCTGAATGCCACTGCAAGCAATGCAATGCCAGTGTTGCACTGTTTTGCAAAGCCCGTGGCGCACTGCGATTTGGGAGTGGCGGGTAGGTTCTACGGTTGTGAGGATTTAGGGTCTACTAGAGCCGCTGCTTCAAAAGCTGCTGTTTTTCGCTTGCTGGCCCCTAACTCAGTGCCCTCTGCCGCCCTTTGCCTCCCTTTGCTACCCTCTTCCACCCTCTTCTACCCTCTTCCGCCCTCTTCCGCCCTCTGTCCCCCACCTGAAAGGTACATTCCGTCAGGCAGCAACGATAACCTTTGAGGCACTATCCTCCCTTACACTCGCTTTTGGGGCGTCTCAAATCGTGATCGTTATCTCATGGATACATCAACTCAGTGCCCTGCCATCTTTCTGCCCACCTGCATGGTCCACCTGTTCAGGACCCTTTCAAGCAACAACCTCACAGGCACTATCCCCGATTCCATCTCCAGCATCTTTGCTCTCAACACTCTGTATGTGCCCCGCTCTCCTTCGCTCCGTACATTGGCCCTCTCCTCTCTGCACATCCTTTCCCTCTCTGCACGTCCTTTCCTCCCTGCACGTCTGCACCTCCCTGCTTGTACACATCTCAGTCTGTGCTTTCCTCCCTGCACGCCCCATCCGCGCAAGCGGTCCGTTAGTTGATGAGGAGCCTAGGAACATCGAGGCCACACCACGAGGTGTGTACAAGCACATTAAAATTCTACGTCTTCATCTTCTGGGCAACCCGTATAGGATTTCCACTTCATCATCTCCACACATGTAATATCTCTCTACGCCCTATCCGCATGCCAAAACGTTTTTTGAAGAATTCTAAAAGAACAGAGGCGTAACGTCCAAGCGTCTTTGGGGTGGACCCAAGGAGCACCACTTTGTGGTGGGAGACATTACGAGGCAGCGGTTTCTTTTAGAGCAAGAATAGGTTCAGAGAGATTTCAAGCGTGAAAGCTTGATTGTAGAATTCTAAAAGAACAGAGGCGTAACGTCCAAGTGTCTTTGGGGTTGACTTGGGGGCTTGTAGGTCACCTGGAGAGTAATCGAATAGAACTTGGATAAGTAGAAGATGCTATCTTGATAGTGATGACACTGCTTATCAATGAAAGCGTCTACTAAGAAAACTTGTCAGCTTTACGATCCATGGAGTGCGCATGGGGGAGAGTGCGATGTGCAGGTGGGTGCACTGTCTGCCACTGCAATGCATCGCCACTGGTGCACTGCAATATGGGAGTTGCAGGTATGCTCTGTGGGTTGTGCGGGATTGGGATCCAGTGAGCCTGCTGCGGCAGAAGCTGCTGTCAAGGAGGCTTGCTGCCGTCAGTACTGAGGAGATGATGTCATCAGCACGAGGGGCCTTCTGTGGCCGGGAAATGGGCCCAGTCTGGGCCTCCCACCGGCGGGTTTTCAAACTGGGCAGTCATGTTCAGCATGGTGAGATAGCTCACTGCATGGTCTTGCTGCAAAGCAATCGACCAGCGCTCACGGAACTGGTGGAGCAGTTTCGCAACTGGTGGTGCAGCTTACCAATGAAAGCCATCTACTGGTGGAGTCCCTGCAAAGCAACCGACAAGTGCTGACAGAACTGACCAGCAACCGACCAGCCCTGGTGGAGCAGCAGTCTCTTGCGCCTCCCTCCTCCTTCCTTCCCCTTCCTCCATTTCCCTAGTCATCTTTTCCTCTCCTTCCTTCTTTCCCCCCTGTTCCCCCTGTTCCCCCTGGTTATCTGCCAGGAGGCTTGACAGCAACGCATTGGTATCTCCTATCCCTCAAAGCTTGAATGCTATGAATCAACTACGCGTTTTGTGAGTTGTCCTCCAGTACTTGATGTGATGTTTACGGCATGCCTTAGCAAGCAGAGAGGCATGAATCGTGAGACACGTAAGCTGTAGGTGGTGCATGCAAGCCCACCGGCCTCTCTAGTGTGTGCATGCACGGGAACACTCATGCTAGAGACACTTGCAGCATGGATGCGCATGGGAGCAATGGTTTGTAGGGTAGATGGCGGTTAAAGTTTTTCACAGACCCAACCGGTGCATTGTGTTGTGAAGTGGGTAGCGGTACTTTGACAACAATCAATTCTAGCGCATGAGTGCAATGCACTGAGGCGCCTAAAAAGGCGTCTCTTAGTGCTGGAGCAACCTTTGAGTTAACCCAAACGCTTTGAAGACCCAAAAAGCTTTTCATAGAGCTAGAGTGCACTGATGGCACGCATGAGAGTGAGAAAGGGAGTGTGTGGGTATGGGTTGATTGTGTGAGGTTATGGTATGGAGTGACCGACCGTGAGGTATGTGTGAGTATGGGATGATTGTGAGAGTACGTGGGTTTGGAGTGACCATGAGAGGGACAGGTGTGTGAACATGGGAAGGAGAGAGACTAAAGCAGTGACTATTGTCCATGAGAGGGACAAGTGCCTGAGGGCCTTTGTACATCCCCTTCCGCCCATCTCCTCCATCCATCCCTTTGTATCGCCCGCCTGACTCACCTTGGCAACGGCAGGGATCTGAGCAAGAACAAGTTCTCAGAGGACTTGCCGGCTTTCGACCTGATGCAAGTGCGGCACATGTAAGCACATGCGTGCATGTGACTGGATGAGTTGCTTGTTTTGCAGCTCGTTAGTGCTGCGAGTGTGACATCACGTGAGCATGTGAGTGCACGGGAATGTATCGGTCAACATTAGTGCTCTTGCGACGTTCAGACGTCTTGGTACCTTTGCATGATGCCCACGTGCACCCACGTGCACCCACGTGCACCCACGTGCACCCACGTGCACCCTCGTGCACAGTGATTGTCTGTCTGTGTGCATCCAGGTTTCCACTGCGCCTCCGCCACTCCCCTCCCCTGCCATCCGTCTTCCCTAACCACCTCATCTCCTCCCATCCCTTTCCCCACCATCCATTTCTTTGTAGGAAGCTGAGCAACAACAACTTCACAGGCAGCATCCCTGACTCCATCCCCTATCTACCTTTCCTCTACTACCTGTACTCCTCCTTCACTCACACACCTGTGCACTTCACTCGCACATACACCTGTGTGTCTCACTCAAAACAAGAGTGCGGTATTACATTCTCCAGCAAATCATGTTGAGTGAGAAACGTGGCCAAGTCCTGAACGAGGAGACATGGGGGTGCCCTTGTGTTGGTAGGTGCCAGCATGTGGGAGTCCCACAAGCAATCCCCGGTTACTCTCCATACCCTCAAAGTGACTTTTGAGTCGACTCAAAAGTCACCCGGTTACTCTCCATACCCTCAAGATGTGTGGTGCCGGTGACACTGCAGCTTCGAGGGCTTTGAAGGGCGTTTCTGGTTACCCACGCCCCTGTGTTGAACACTGATGACTGCAATGCAGTTTGAATAGGACAAAGTGCCATCTTCACCTTATTCCCCCTCCCCTCCTTTTCTCCCTCCCTCACCCTCATCCCCGATCCTCACTTCCTCCAGTGATCTAAGCTACACAATGCTAACCGGCAGCATTCCTTACACCATCACTGAACTGCAAAACCTCTTGCGCCTGTAATCCTGACTTGGCAAAAACAAGATGGGACCTTATGCGTCCTGGGAACAAAATGCATGAGTAACATGTGCTTCGCTTTATGAAAACTTTGGGCACTTTTCAAAACACAAAAGGCGTCTCTCCTCTTTCTTCCTTGAGCGTCAAGGCCAGCCCCAGTTGTTTCTATTTCTTCATACCTCTCACTCCTCACTGCATGTGTCTCATTTGCCCCTTGCATCGCCCTCTTCTCCTGCTGATCACACCTCTCCTCATGGCCATCCTCCTGTGGTTTATCCTTGCTGCTGCACCATGCCACCATGCACGCTAACACGTGCCACCATGCACCCTAACACATTCCACCATAAATCCTAACACATGCCACCATGCATCATAACACATGCACCACGCATCATAACACAAGCCACCATCCACCCTAACACATGCCACCATGCACCATTCCATTTGCTACCATGCAAACCACCATGCGACTATGCATCATCCCACACACCACCATGCGTGGTCAACCCTCACGCAGTGACCTGCGCATACCAACACTCACGGGCTCCATCCCGGCCTCCATGGGCGCCATGCTCAATCTGCAGTACTTGTCAGTCACCCGCCCCTCTCTCTTTTCTATATCATACCATACCTGTCACCCGCCCCTCTCTCTTTTCTATATCATACCATACCTGTCAGCCGCTCCTCTCTTCCTCCCCTTCCTCGCCAGCCCTCTTTTCCGCATCTCATTCACACACGTGGCCTCAAGTCCTTGATAGGGCCTGGTGTCCAAACTTCTCTCTACTGTGATTGCCACTTTGCCTCACCACGGAGCTGCTGCTGCTCCTCTTGATAGATTTGATATCTGACCTCTGCTTAACCCTGCTTGCCGTTTCATATTCCAATCATAGATTACCTAAATCGATTTTTATCCCAAACCCTTCCCCACTGGCTCCTGCCCCCCACCTCCTCCCCCCTATCTTCCTCCTGCTTGGTCTCGCTGTCTGGCAGTTATGTCAATTTCAGTGCGACGCCATGCGGTTCCGGGGAGTGCGAGGCGGTGCAGTACTCCGGCACAGCCTTCTGCCGTGCCTGCACTGACTTCTGTGACATGTGCTCTCGTGAGTGTAAGGAGGGCGAAGGGGGGTTCTGAGTTATGATGTTGCACTCAATTTCACCTTCCGTGCAATTTACAGGACGAGAAAAGATGAACACGGAAGCATGCAGAGGAAGTGACAAAAGGGAGGTGGGTAGGAGGGAGGGTCGGACGTTGGGGATGCGAGATTGTTTTGAGGACTGTTTTGTGAGGCACTGTATCCGTCTCCACACACGGCACTTAAGCTCGTGTGGCTTAAGTTCAATGAGCGGATGTGGAGGAGAGAGCATGCTGGAAAGAGAACATGGTTGGGGGAGATGGTTGGGGGAGAGAACAATGACTGAGATGAGTGCATGAAGCTTGCATGATGATATTCAACAGATCCGACTGTCTCTGTGTGCATGCTTTGCTCGCACCCACATGCTCGCAATCATATGGTTGCCTCTATGTGTGTGCTTGTCCGTGAGCGTGCTAGAGAGTATCATGCATGTATGCACACACACACATACACAGCCTCATGCATCCAATTACGTCACACCCACCCTGTCCTCCTCTCCTCCTGCCCTGCCAGCACCTCCTCCTGCCGCTCCAGGGTGCAAGAAGAAGCGCCGCGCCTGCTCGCTCAAGTCCTGCCCAGGCCGCATTTGCATTCCCTTCGTCCGCAGCTGCAAGGGCTACAAGTGCATCTGATTCATACAAGGGCAACATGTGCATGTGACTCACATACATCCACATGCATATCCATGGTGCTATGCGTGCTCTTCCCCAGGTTCCCGCATTTTCCAGGTTAGAATCCCCTGTCAAACTATATGTTTATATTATAATGATATGTAGGCTGTAGTGGGGTAGCCAATGTAGGGTATAGGGTTTGTTACTTGTACCGAACTCTCTCGATAGTCTAACACCTTTTCTTCCCTTTACTTTCAACATGGTATCAGAGCAAGTAGGTCCTTAGGACCGTTTTATGACTGTTTTTCAGGGCCCACCAACCGGTTCCGTCGGTTACCGCGTTACCCCGTCCCCTGCCTACACTGCGCTGAGTCGCATAACCCTCACACTCACCTCTGCTAGCCCGCGCGAAGCCCGCTAGCAGCCCGCCCGCTGCCTCGTCAGCCCCGCGCGTCGCTCGCCCGCTGCCTCGTCAGCCCCGCGCGCCGCCCCGCAGCCCTCGCGCTGCCTTCTGCTGCCCTGCGCGCCGCCCCGCAGCCCTCGCGCTGCCTTCTACTGCCCCGCGTGCCGCCCCGCAGCCCTCGCACTGCCTTTACTGACCCGCGAGCCGCCCACGCAGCCAGCCTGCTGCCTCGTCAGCCCCGTGCGACGCCCGCGCAGCCCGCCCGCTGCCTCGTCAGCCCCGCGCGCGGCCCGCGCAGCCCGCGTGCTGCCTCGTCAGCCCCGCGCGCTGCCCTCCCGCTGCCTTAGCAGCCCTCGTGCTGCCTCTACTCCTCCGCCCTTCCTGCTCCTCCCCTGTCTCTGCAGCTTCGCGCACCGCCCCTGCCGCCCTCATGCAGCCTTTGCCGTCCGCGTGCTGCCTCTATTGTCGTGCTGCAGTGACCATGGCTTCTATTAGCGTACTGTCGTTCGACCCTGAGGGTCGCCCGGTCGAGTTCGATGCGTGGCTCGAAGATCTTCAGCCGTATCTTATGACTGATGCCAAGGAAAGCGTTTCGTTCTTTGACTTAGCTAAAGGTTCCTCAGTCGCTCCAGACACAGCTGACAGCGTCGCTCACTCATAGTGGCTTACCCGTGACGCTACTGCACGCCTAGCTATTCGCAACCACTTGCCTCTAGCCGAGTGCGCCCACTTTGGCCAGTACAAAACCGCTAAAGCACTTTACGCTACTGTCATCGCTCGCTACTCTTCTCCTGCCACTGCTGCCCTCAGCCCCCTTATCCTACCCTACCTTTTCCTGAGCTCTCCTCCTTTGCCACGGCTGAGAACCTTATCACTCATCTCCGCGCTAGTGACGCTCGTTACCGCGCCGCCCTCCCGGCCGAGTTCTTAGACAAGAACCCTCCCCCGATGTACATCACACTCTACTTCATCGTCACCCGACTCCCTGACTCTCTTAGTGTCGTCAGGGACCACTTTCTAGCCCTTCCCCCCACCGACCTCACCGTCGACGACCTCGAGAAGCACCTGCTTGCAGCTGAGTCCAACATCGTAGCTGTCGGTGCTGCTCGTGGCACTCCCCGCACTCCTCTCTTTGAGGGGTGTGCCCCTTCCCCCCTTATCCCCTCTCACGCCTCTGCTGCTACTGTTGACTTCCTTGGTGCTGAGGAGGTCGGTGCCGCTTCTACTTCTGCTGGGAAGCGCCGCAGCGGAGGCAAGGGTGGCGGCGCTGGCAGCGAGGGAGGTGGTGGTGGAGGAGGCGGCGGTGGGGGTGGTGGTGGTGGGGATGGTGGCGGGGGTGGAGGGGTCAGTGGCAGCAGTGGCAGCAGCGATCCGCGTGGTGGTGGTGGAGGAGGCGGGGGTGGGAGCGGTAGCAGTGGCGGCGGCAGCGGCGGTGGTGATGGCGGTGGGAGCGGTGGTGCCAGCGGTGGTGGCGGCCGTGGTGGAGCTGGTCAGCGGGGAGGTGCTGGCGGTGGCCAGCGCCAGCAACAGCAGCGTCAGCCCGAGCCCCGCACGCCCCAGCAACTTCGTGAGAGGTACGCTCAGCGTGGGGCGTCTGGGGGTGGTGGTCGCTGCCCTTACCGCATTCGCACTAGTGAACGCGCTGGTCAGACGTGCAACAAGTTTCACACCGAGTACCGCTGCTTCTCTAGGCTTGACGACGCCTGGCGTGCCCAGTTTCGTGATGCTACTGAGCTTCCCTACTGGGCAGACCTGCTTAAGCGTGATGTTCCTATCCTTGATCTTGACTATGATGCAATTCTTGCTGCCATGTATGCATTGTCCGTTAGTGCTCAGGGTGACTGCTACTTGCGTATGCTGCCTGACCCAGGTATAGAGACTTCAGCCCTAAGTGCTAGTGAGTCTGCTCTCTCTGGTACTACGTCGGCTCAGGCCTTGCACACCTTTACACTTGACTCTGGTGCTTCCCGCTCTTTCTTTCGCGACTGTACCACAATCACTCCCCTCCATGCACCTGTCCCTGTCTCACTGCTGACTCCTCTGGTGGCCCAGTGCTTGCACGGTCCACTACTGTGCTTCCGTGCCCGGCGGTCCCGTCTGGTGAGCTGTCAGGTCTCCACCTCCCCTCGTTCTTTACGAACCTGGTGAGCACCGCCGTCCTTCAGGATCATTGGGTTGACACCTTTACTCCTGGAGGACAGCGTGTGACGATATGCACGTGCTCTTGGATAGACCGTCACCTGGCCATGTTCACACGTGCGCCTGGGTCCAGTCTGTACACCCTCACCACTACGTCGCGCTACGCCCCTTTGTCTCCTTAGCTGCACGCGTCCGCTCATGTAGCCACCCAGTGTGAGTGTCGCCACCTGTCGCACCAGACTCTCCTTTGGCACCACCGCCTTGGTCACCCCTCCCTGCCCCGCCTGTGTGGCATGCACTCTCGCTTCCTGGTCTCTGGTCTTCCCATGTCTCTGCCCTCCCTCCCTCCCTCGCCTGCGCCGCCCTGCATTCTTTGCGTCGAGGGGCGGCAGCGCGCCGCTCCTCACCCCTCCTCGTTCCCTCCGACAGAGGCTCCACTGCAGACTCTCCACCTGGACGTGTGGGGCCCAGCCCGCGTCTAAGGGCAGGGCCGCGAGCGGTACTTCCTGCTGGTTGGCGACGACTACACGCGTTACACCACGGTCTTCCCCTTGCAGCGCAAGGCGGATGTCCCCGCTGTTTTGATCCCTTGGATCCGCGCTGTTCGTCTCCAGCTCCGCGAGCTGTTCGAGTCGGACTTTCCTGTCCTGCGTCTACACTCTGACAGAGGTGGTGAGTTCACCTCCGACCTCTTGCGAACCTTCTGTGAGGAGCAGGGCATCTGCCAGACGTTCACGATTCTGGCCTCTCTGCAGAAGAATGGGGTTGCTGAGCGCCGCATTGGCTTAGTCACGGAGGTCGCTCGTACCTCCATGATTCATGCGGCTGCTCCCCATTTTCTGTGGTCGTTTGCGGTACGGTACGCTGCGCATCAGCTCAACCTCTGGCCCCGTGTCTCCGTGCCGGAGACTTCACTGACACTACGTTGGACGGGGGAGGTTGGCGATGCGTCGCGATTCCAGGTCTGGGGTGCTCATGCCTTTGTCCGCGATACCACTGCGGACAAGCTCTCCGCTCGCGCCATTCCTTGCGTCTTCCTTAGCTTCCCCCCTGACGCGCCTGGCTGGCAGTTTTACGACCCCGCCTCGCGCCGTGTCTTTGCGTCTCAGGACGTCACCTTTGACGAGTCGGTCCCCTTTTACCGTCTCTTTCCCTACCGCACTGCTCCTCTTCCCCCCCCCCGCCGCTCTTTCTCGCTCCAGGTCCCCTACAGGTAGACCCCCTCCCCCCTCCAGGTCCTGCTCCTCCAGATGTGTCTCAGGTAGACCCTCCTCCCTTGACTGGGCATGTTGGGGTCATTGGTGACTCAGGTCTTGTTGGGGTTGGTCCTGCTCGGGGTGCTACTTCTAGGGGTGCTGAGCCTGGGGGTGCGGAGCCTGGGGGTGCTGAGCCTGAGGGTGCAGAGCTTGGAGGTGCTGAGGTTGAGCGTAAGCAGCTTGGAGGTGCTGAGCCTGAGGGTGCAGAGCCTGGAGGTGCGGAGCCTGGGAGTGCTGAGCCTGGGGGTGCTGAGCTTGGAGGTGCTGAGTCTGGGGGTACTGAGTCTGGGGGTACTGCGGCGCCTGGTGAGCAGTCTCCTTGGAGCGGTCGCCTACGTAGTCGCTCCGCTGGTGCCTCGCCGCAGCACTCTCGTCGGCGTGTGCCTCTCTCCACACAGCTGTTGCGTGAGTGGTACGTTAGCCGTCAGGGTCGCGCTGCTAGAGCTGGGGACCCTGCTGCGGGAGGCGCTGGCGTTGGAGGCACTAGAGCTGGTGACACTGCTATTGGAGGCCCTGCTACGGCCCTGCTAGAGATAAGTCTGATATCTAGGGCCCTGCTACGGTCTTCCCCTTGCAGAGCAACGCGGATGTTCCTAGTGTCTTGATCCCCTGCATTCGCACTGTCCGTCGCCAGCTCCGCGAGCGGTTCCAGCAGGACCTTCTGGTCCTGCGTCTGCACTCTGACAGAGGCATTGAGTTCTCCTCCCACCTCCTGAGGGCTTTTTGTCGTGAAGAGGGCATTGCCTAGTCGTTCACAGTTCCGGCCTCTCCGCAGCAGCTCAACCTATGGCCGCATTGGTTTGATCGTGGACATTGCTCACACCTCCATGATCCATGTGGCTGTCCCCCTTTTTTCTGTGGCCGTTTGCAGTCCGATACGCCGCGCATTAGCTCAACCTATGGCCCCGTGTCTCCTTGCCAGATTGCAGGACAATTTACCGTAGGCAATTTTGTGACGTGCATCTACGGATTTTCTGCCCTTATGAGCGGTTCCGATGTCCTTTAGGCATCATCGAACAAAGTTACAACGACTAGTGAAACGGGTAGTCACGAAGAACTACGCACGACACACATTTGGCACCATATTATACAACCTGGTATTGCACAGGTTTTTGTGTTCTTATGTTGGTTAGCACAACCAGTGCGAAGTCCTTGGAGTCTGAATAAGTTGGCACTTTACTTTTGCCAGATCTGAAAACTATATTGAAATAAAATCGCTTACAGCATAAAGTTCCTAGGAGTCAGTTATACCTGTAGCGTCGCCACAGTACAGTGGAGGATAGCCACGAAAACAAACACACCTTTACATGCCCCCAGGCCATAACAAGCGACTAGATAACTCCCCACCCTAAACACAAAAACTACCAGCACTTAGGGTTGCTATCCACGGGAATATGGAAAACTGGGAAAGAGCACGCATGGCATGCATGTGCATATATAGGAGTGCGCATCAGATGCACTTGTAGCCCTTGCAGCTGCGAACGAACGGAATGCAGATGCGGCCCGGGCAGGACTTGAACGAGCAGGCACGGAGCTTCTTCCGACACTTTGAGGGACCTGTTGGCAGAGTAGGAGGAGGGGAAGAGGAAGTGGTTGTGATGTGATGTACGATATGTATGGAGCTGCGTATGTGTGTCTGGAGCTGTGTATGTGTGTCTCATGAGCACATGAGCACAAATGACCCCTGACTCTTGCGTTCGTAGTACACAACAGTCAGGCCTGTGTGCAATCAGCTCACTGGACCTTTTGTTGGCCTCGACAAGCTTGCACACTGACAGCACACTACCATACGTAGGAGCACATGCGCGGAGAAGCACTCACATACACAGGCGAGCATGTGGGTGCGACCCAGAGCATGCCCACCGGGACAAGTGGGTGCAGTGGTGTGTTGTGTACTCGCATGCACGATTCACCACTGCTCTCACCCTCCATCCTAGCTGACATCCAAACCATGTCATCTCCCCCGACCATGCTCTCTCCTCCACAATCGCTCATTCAAATCAACTCACACGCACTCAGGTGTTGTGAGTGCATAACAGAGAGCTCTCAAACACGGTGTTTCTGTAATAATCTGAGAACATTCTTTCCCAACACTCTCCTCCCTACATTTCAACTCTCCCTCCTCACCTTCACTCCTCCCCCATGCTTCCCTGCACTCTCCCTCTCATGCTCCCGAACGCACGCACGGTTGATATCACACCGAGATGATCTTTACCGTAGTAACATTGCAACTCAAAACATCCCTTCTTTTTCCTCCTTACCGTAGTAATCGTCGTAATCGCCGTTACCGCCAGAGGACCACTGGTAGCACTGGAGGCAGAAGTCAAAGCAGGCACGGCAGAAGGCCGTGCCGAAGTACTGCTGCACCTCGCAATCGCTTTCCCCATTACCGCATGGCGTTGCATCGTAGTTGACATAGCTGTGAGACAGAGAAGACGGACAGAGTTGCGAGAGGAAAGCCAGGAGGGGGTGGGGGGAAGACAGTCGGATGAGGCTTGGGTGGATTGGTTCGGATTTTCCAAACTTGTAAAATGAAACCGTACAGAGGGATTAAACAGCAGTTACATGACGAAGAGCCTAAAGGGGGGAGCAGCAGCTGAGGTTTGGTGCAGCACGGTGGCGAGGGAAGAACGGCAAGCAGAGGGAGGAGCTTTAACGACAGGCCCTTCCGAGGACTTGAGGGCACGTGTGAAAATGAGACACGAAAAAGAAGGTTGGAGAGGAAAGGGGAAGAAGGGCGGGTGACTGACAGGTACTGCAGATTGAGCATGGCGCCCATGGAGGCCGGGATGGAGCCCGTGAGTGTTGGTATGCGCAGGTCACTGCGTGAGGGTTGACCACGCATGGTGGTGTGGGATGATGCATAGTCGCATGGTGGAGAGCAATGCAGCAAAGCATGAAGGGATGGTGGCTTGAGGAGGGCAAAGAAGGTGCGCACAGCACAAGAAGAGGGCGAAGTAAGGTGCAAACGAGACCATTGTGGTTACTAAGGGGAGCCAACGGACGAAAATGCTGAAAGGCGTGAAAGGAAATAGAATCCATTGGGGTGAAGAGACACCTGATGGGTCTCGTCTTGATGCTCAAGGAAAACAGGAAAAGAAAGAAAACAAAAGGAAAAGAAAGAAAAAAGAGAAAGAAAAAGGGAAAAAAAGGGAGAAAGATGCAGCCAAGTTTGACATGCGTCTCGAATGCTCACAAGCGCCTTGCACATGCTACACATGCGCAAAGAAGGTCCCATTTGATTTTGCCAACTCAATATTACAGGCGGGAGAGGCGTCGCATTTTGGTGATGGCAGTAGGGATTGTGCCCGTAAGCAACGTGTAGCCTAGATCACTGGATGAAGCAAGAACCGGGGGTGAGGGGTTGAGGGAGAGAGGGAGAGGGAGACAGTGGAGAGACCTGGATCACAGACACATCTATCACTGACCCTGTGCTGCAGAACCGAGACTCCACAGCCCGCAAACCCCCAGGCTGGGCCTAAGTTGGATCTTACGTTTTCGGTTCTTTATGTTCTTGGACGATTACGACAATTTTTATGTTTACGAACGGTCACCCTGATTCGGCCTTACGTTTACGGTCACCTAAAAACTTTTCTGAGCTGCCCGAGGAAAAAAAACGACCAGAGCATCAGGAAGATTCCCTCCAACCTAGTTCTGTAACTCGCTATCTTGTTCGACGTCGACCTAGCAGCTCGTTCGCAACCTATCGTGTTTCTCTCTTACTAACCCGGTCAACGCTGAATCTGAAACTTTCACAGACTTGAAAGGCGCTCCATACGTAGTAAAGTCGCTATTCTATGCAGGTACACGACAAATTAGTGGTAGGATCTGGTACCCGTACACAATCCAGAAAAAAAAAAAATCACATTAGTTTTTTTTTCCTGGCCGCCTCATACTTACGCATAATATTACGTTTCCGTTTACGTTTACGCTAAATTACGCGAAATTTACGTTTACGAGACCTCAAAAAACGTAAGAGACCAACTTAGGGCTGGGCTGCAAGGGAGGCACAGAGGCGGAAGGAGAGGGACTACTACAGGCACACTGAACACACACGTGGTGTTCTGCGCCCTGGCCGTCGAGACCTACAGGGCAAACGCGCCCCCCACGACAGCATTCCTCAAGCTGCTGGCCACAGCAGCAGCTAGGAACCGTTTCAGGGCCAGCCTCTTGGCGAAATCAAGAAGATGGCCTGCCACTTCAGCCAGCGCTGGTCAGTGGCCCTCTCGAGCTCCCAGGCGAACGCCCTGCACACCAAGGCCAGGGCTGGGATCGAGGCAGCGCACTCCCAGATGGCAGCGGACCCCTGGCCGCTGCACGTAGGGGACATCCTCCACACACTGGAGGGGTAGAGGGTCACTAAGGAGGGGGGGGGGGGGGGGGGGGGGGTCAGAGGGATGAGTCAGAATGAGACGCGCAGGTGTACTTGCAAGTGAAGGTGATAGGTGTCTGGGAGAGGGCTGGACACAGGTGCGTGAGTGAAGTGCACGGTTTGTGTGAGTAAAGATCTTAGGTGGGCGTGGGTGGGAAGATTGCAGGTCTGTGAATGAGGGGGGCATACAGGTAGGTGAGGGAAGCAAGAGAGGAGATGGAGGCGGGGATGCTGCCTGTGAAGTTATTGTGGCTCAGCCTCCTGCGAAGATGGGGGTTGGGGTAGGGGAGGAGAGGAGATGCGGTGATATGGGGCGTTCTTAACACTCAGCGTCCTGTGGATATGGATGGGGGGGGGGGGGAGGGGAAGGGAGGATGTGCAGTGGAAATTCAGGTGTGCACAGACGAATCTAGCTGTGCACGTGGGTGCATGTGGGAACCATGGAGAGGAATCAAGACGTGTTGACATGTTCACATTGGACACTGGCTGCAAGTCTGTTCACATGGGCCGATGCATGCGCATGCACTCCCATGCTCACTTTCTCTCAAACGAACTGCAAAACAAGTAACACAGGAGCTCGCATGCACTCATGTGCTCACATGTGCTGCACTTGTTTCATCCGGGTGAGAAAAGTCGGAAAGTCCTCTGAGAACTTGTTCTTGCTCAGGTCCCTGCCATTGCCAAGGGAGACAGGTGGGCGAGAGAATGGGGTGGAGATGGGGGAGGGAGAGTAAAAGAGAGGGATGAGTGAATGGAATAGAAGCAGACTCATGAGTCGCACTGGGTTGCCCTTACAAGCTCTTGGTGGTGAAATTAAAGGCCTCTATGTCAGAATACTAAAGAGTTGGAAAATGAACGGATTCAGCCTGAGACACCTTAGATACTGCTTCCTTCTCTTTCCCTCCCCTGTTCACTTCACACAGCGCCACTCTCACAGTCAACCCATACTTCCACACACAAACAAACAGTATTTTGGATGCAAGCTTGCGCCCCCTCGCCAACCACTCGCTGTAGGACACACCAGTTGGGCTCTCTCGACTTCCCAACAACTAGCTATTGAGGCGCCTCAAAAACCAGTGGGTACTTGAGAATTCTCAACAATCAGTTATCCTGCAGACCACTGCTCCCATGCGCACCCATGCTGCACATAAGAGGGACTGATGGGCTTGCATGCACTATCTACAGGCTAGCGTCTCATGACTCGTGTCTCTCTGCTTGCCACAGCATGCCATAACTGTCGCATCATGCACACTGCGGTGTGTCAGGCATGACATAACTCACATGCGCTTCAACGCTCGCAGTTTACTCAAACTTGTGGGGAAAGGAGACTCCAATGCGTTGCCGTTTAGCATCCTGGCCGAGAAACCAGGGCGGATGGAAGGACAGATGGCGGAAAGTAGAGGGGAGAGAGGTTTGAAGGGGGAAGGATTTGAGAGGGAGGCGCAAGAGGAGGGAGCGGGGCAGTGGGAAAGGGGAGGAACCAGGAGGAGGAACCAGGACGAGGAACTGGGGAGGAACTGGGGAGGAACTGGGGAGGAGGAACTGGGGAGGAAGGCGAGAAAAAGTTGTCATATGAATGGCTGAGGAGTAAGAAAGTAAGGCACCTACTGAGACGAGAACATTCAGGGAGGGGAGAGCGCAGAGAGAGGGGGACACAGACAGTGATGAGTGCACACAGGGAGGTGAGCGCACATAGCGGAGGGGACACATACAGAGTCAGAAGCCGGGAGAGGCCGGAGATGGACGGGGGGATTGCGCCTGAAAGGCTGTTGTTTGAAACCAGCCTGGATGGGTGGACCATGTAGGTGGGAGACAGAGGGCGAGAGAGGGCGACAAAGGTTGAGAGAGGACGACAAAGGGTGAGAGAGGGCGACAAAGTGTGAGAGAGGGAGACAAAGGGTGAGAGAGGGTGAGAGAAGGCGACAGAGGGTGAGAGAGGAAGGAGGGTGAGTTGGGGAGGGTGGGGAGGTTCAGGGATGTGAACGAGCGAGAGGAAGGGGGGAGGGAGAGAGGTGTATGGGAGAGTAAATGGGTGGGTGGATGGGAGTGTAAGATTGGTTTCACACACAGTCCAATTAGATTGGACAGTGGGGAGAGATCGTTGAGGCTGTCAGTGAGAGAGTAGGGAGGGAGAGAGGGAGGGAGGAAGGGAGAGAGGGAGGGAGGAAGGGAGGGAGGGAGGGAAGGAGGGAGGGAGGGAGGGAGGGAGGGAGGGAGAGAGAGAGGGAGGGAGGGAGGGAGAGAGGGAGGGAGGGAGGGAGGGAGAGAGGGAGGGAGGGAGGGAGGGAGGGAGGGAGGGAGGGAGGGAGGGAGGGAGGGTGGGAGGGAGGGAGGGAGGGAGGGAGGGAGGGAGGGAGGGATGGAGGGAGGGAGGGAGGGAGGGAGGAAGGGAGGGAGGAAGGGAGGGATGGAGGGAGGAAGGGAGGGAGGGAGGGAGGGAGGGAGGGAGGAAGGGAGGGAGGGAGGGAGGAAGGGAGGGAGGGAGGGAGGGAGGCAGGCAGGGAAACAGGGAGGGAGGGAGTGAGGTAAAAGGAACGAAGGAGAGGGTGCGGAAGTGGAATCTGGTAGAGGGGAGCGGTGAGATAGAGGGATAGATGCAATAGATGCATAAGAGAGGAAAGAGATGACATCAAATTTGCTGGATAGGCCGTTACAGGTGGGTACGTGGGAACACTGACAGGTGGGTGAGTGCATTGAAGGAAGAGAGGAAGCCAGGGATGGATCCCTCCAGCTCATTGTTGGCCATTGACCTGCGAGCAGCACACAGCATGCAGCACAGAACCCACAGCATGGTCTGAACATACTGACATGCTAAATGCAGATCATGATGCTTTTTTAAAATTATTAACAAAAAAGCTACAGGCTAGAAGAGGAACTGGAGGTATGAAACCACGGAGCTGCTGGTGATCCGAGCCTACGACCAATGAGGGACATAGAGGATAGCATAGCGTCCTGCGTAGAGGATTTTGTGTGTCTGGAGGAGGGAGAGCGACGCAGGGAGAGTGATGCAGGGAGAGCGATGCAGGGTAAAAGATGTGCAATCGTGGTGTGAGCCTGAGGGAATGGCAGGCATGGTCTGTGATGCAGGGAGGGTCTGTGAGGCAGGGAGGGCGTGGGAGAGGGCGAGCGACTGACAGGTGGGTCAGGTTGGTGAGGGTGCTCAGAGCTCCGGTGATGGTGCCTCCCAGCTTGTTGTCGTCTAGGCCCCTGTGATGGGCGCATTCAGAGGACCAAGGTGGTTCTTGAGTTTACAGTGGAGAACGACTGGAATGAATAAGTTGATGCAAACAAAAGCAATAGACAATAACGTGAACAATGAATGGAGTAGAAAGTTACTGAGCAGGAGATGTGAGAGAGGGTGCATGTGAGGCGTGGAGGGCGCAAGGCATGAGAAAGCATGGGGCATGAGAGAGCATATGCATGCATGTATGATGCGTTGCAACTTTATGGGAGTGACGGTCTACAGCAGAGCGTGTGATATGGACTGGCGGGGGAGGAGGTAGTGCTTGAGTGAGTCATTTGACGGACAGATGCTGAAGCAGCACCAGGCTTTGAGTCGTCCCGGAAGTTTTGAAACATCCCAAAGCTTGTATGGACCGGCGGGCGGGCACTGGGACAGAGTGAGAGGTTCAATCATGGCACTAACAGGTGTTGTAGCAGCACCAAGCTGCCGATTTCCGTGGGGATGCTGTCTGTGAGCATGTTGTGCGCGAGGTAGCTGCAGGGGGGAGCGATTGCATGTCGACACAACACGAGATGGGGGGGGGGGGGGGGGGGGGGGGGGGTGGAGGTGGAGATAAGAAGATGCGAGCATAGAAGAGCAAACAAGTGAATCCAGCCCGATCCCTATCTACCCTGAGGGCCAAGGCAGGCAGACAAGAAGGCGCATTGCCCTTCCACGCAGGAAATCCTACGGGATGCTGGGTCTCTAAGGATGCTGGGTCTCTAAGGATGCTGGGTCTCTAAGGATGCTGGGTCTCTAAGGATGCTGGGTCTCTAAGGATGCTGGGTCTCTAAGGATGCTGGGTCTCTATGGATGCTGGGTCTCTAAAGATGTTGGGTCTCTAAGGATGCTGGGTCTCTATGGATGCTGGGTCTCTAAGGATGCTGGGTCTCTATGGATGCTGGGTCTCTAAGGATGCTGGGTCTCTAAGGATGCTGGGTCTCTAAGGATGCTGGGTCTCTAAGGATGCTGGGTCTCTAAGGATGCTGGGTCTCTAAGGATGCTGGGTCTCTAAGGATGCTGGGTCTCTAAGGATGCTGGGTCTCTAAGGATGCTGGGTCTCTAAGGATGCTGGGTCTCTATGGATGCTGGGTCTCTAAGGATGCTGGGTCTCTAAGGATGCTGGGTCTCTATGGATGCTGGGTCTCTAAGGATGCTGGGTCTCTAAGGATGCTGGGTCTCTATGGATGCTGGGTCTCTAAGGATGCTGGGTCTCTATGGATGCTGGGTCTCTAAGGATGCTGGGTCTCTAAGGATGCTGGGTCTCTAAGGATGCTGGGTCTCTAAGGATGCTGGGTCTCTAAGGATGCTGGGTCTCTAAGGATGCTGGGTCTCTAAGGATGCTGGGTCTCTAAGGATGCTGGGTCTCTAAGGATGCTGGGTCTCTAAGGATGCTGGGTCTCTATGGATGCTGGGTCTCTAAGGATGCTGGGTCTCTAAGGATGCTGGGTCTCTATGGATGCTGGGTCTCTAAGGATGCTGGGTCTCTATGGATGCTGGGTTGACTATAAATGCTTGGTTGCCAATGGCAGGCACACTCACAGCTCTTGGAGGGCCGTGAGGGCGCTTATGACAGGGGGAATGGCACCAGACAGCTGGTTGTTGGAGAGATGGCTGTGGTGGGTCACATGCATGCCATGGGAGAAGGAGAGTCGTGGGTACAATCTTGAGAATTATCATTCGCATGTGAAGGTGTGGTGACGGCATGGGAGGGAGGCATGGTAAGGAGGCATGGGAGGGAGGCATGGTAAGGAGGCATGGAAGGGAGGCATGGTAAGGAGGCATGGGAGGGAATCATGGGAGTGAAACCAGGATGTGCGGCGATGAAAGCTGCTGGGTGGTCCATGAAGGCACGTGGACAACCATGGTGAGAGCATGCAGAGGGACAGATACAACCATGCCATAACCATTCAAGCATGAGTCATGAGACATGGGAGGCGATGGTGTGATGTGAGAAGTAGTGAGGTAGCACATGGGAGCACGTACATGTGCATGTGCGTGTGCATGTGCGTGTGTGTGCGCATGTGCGTGTGCGTGTGCATGTGCGTGTGCATGTGCGTGTGCATGTGCCTGTCCATGATCACAAAGCATGCAAGGGTGATATAAGTCACAAATGAAATGGCACGCACAGGCCTGTGAGAGCGGTCAGGTGCGAGATGGCATCTGGAATGGAGTCGTTCAGCGCGTTGGACTGCAGATCACTGCCTTCCGGGAGCACAATATGGGGAGACGGATAGAGGGAGAGGCATGGGCCGCGAGAGAGAGGGTAGGAAATAATAGCGGGAAACCCGAAACGGGAGAACGACTGAGAACTGAAGAGAGCTATTGGGTGCAGGCAGAAGTGAGGATGCAGAAGAGTGGGAAGGAGATAGTCAACCCCCAATACACATGTGCACTGCATTGCACTGCACGGTACCAGTGAGGATCAACTCCCCAGCAATGAACGACCAGATATCTATATGCACAGTTGATTTGAACATTCCTCCTTCGCTCCCGCCCTTCACTCCCTCCCTCCCGCCCTCCCTCCCTCCCTCCCTCCCTCCCTCCCTACCTCCCTCCCTCCCTCCCTCCCTCCCTCCCTCCCTCCCTCCCTCCCTCCCTCCCTCCCTCCCTCCCTCCCTCCCTCCCTCCCTCCCTCCCTCCCTCCCTCCACGTGTCCCCCTGCCTCTCACAGGTGGGCGAGCGAGGCGAGCGCGCTGAAGGATTCAGGTATGGAGCCCTCCAAGGCGTTGAAACACAGGCTTCTGCGCGCATGGCAGCACAACACACAGAAGTAGGGATGAGCGCCACGGGCGGGAATTGGGGAGCGCCGAGGGGGAGGGGGGTGGGTGGGGGTTGGGTGGGGTGGATAAGGCTGATGAGGCGCCTGGAAAGGATAAGGGCGTTGCACCACAGGTCGCAGCACAGGTTGTAGCACAGGTTAGCACCACAGCACAAAGAGACTGATCTGCTACGAATAAGGAGGAGATGATGAGGAGTGCCCCATACAGAGTTGTCACAGTGCATGCAGAGTGGCGCGAGGTGAGAGGCGTACAGATTTGTGAGAGAGGTGAGGGTGCCAAGAGATGTTGGGATGGATCCAAGTAGACCCGCGCTTTTCAGCGACCTGTTGCGTTGCGTTGTGTTGAGGGTACACATGCAAACATACACACATGCACACATGCACACATGCACGCATGCACGCATGCACAAATGCACACATGAACACATGCACGCATGCACACATGCACACATGCACGCATGCACGCATGCACACATGCACACATGCACGCATGCACGCATTCACACATGCACACATGCACACATGCACACATGCACGCATGCACATGTGTATGCACACAAGCAAACATGCGTGCGTGCGCACGCACGCACGCACGCACACACACACACACACACACACACACACACACACACACACACACACACACACACACACACACACACACACACAAACACAAGCGCGCGCGCTGGCGGGGGGGTTGCAGGGAGGCGGTAAACGAATGAAGCTCAGTCACAGCACGCTGACAGCATGTCAATGGCTTCTGTGGCCCACCGCATCCTCTCTCCCGCCCCACCCTTCATCACCGCTACAACCACCATGCTGTCCCCATATTCCCCCCTCCTCCTCCCTGCCTACATGCCAGTGACAAGGCCGTTGGCATCGCAGGTAATGAACTGCGCCGTGTCACACTCGCCCCCCACCTGCCACTCGCTCGCCGACAATCCCCATGCGGTGCCACACTCCTCCAGCACCAGCGCTGCCAGAGGCTCGTGGGGAAGGGGACCAGGCAGGGGAGAGGGAGGGGGTTGCGTCGGCTGCTGAACGAGCGACCATGTTGCAGGGCAGGGCAGCGAGGGAGCATAGCAATGAAGGCTTAACTTGGATTAGTAAACGTTTGTCAGGGAGGCGGGCGGGAAGAGGTGGGGGGAAGAGCAGGTGGGGAGGTTGGGGAGAGGAAGAGCAAGAGGGACAGAGGGAGAGGAATGGAGTTGAAGGGAGAGGAGGTAAATCATTTGCAAGAAGGAGGCTTGGATGGGATGGGAAAGAGGCGGCGAGAGAGGAGGGGAGTGGGAGAATTAACATGTGAGATGCAGAGGAGAGGAGTGTGAGTGAGGTAGAGTGGGAGAGAGTGGGAGAGAGTGGGAGGCGAGGAGAGGTGCAGGTAGAGGGAGTAGGAGCGAGAGACCTTGGCCATCGTTGATGCGAGTGGCGGCAGCAGGGCACGGCGGCAGCAGAAGCAGCCCCGCCAGCAGCAGCAGCGGCGGAGGGAAGGAGAAGCTGCGCCGGTCGCCCATGACTCTCCAGACGGAAAGAAGGCAGGCAAAGACGTGGTAATCTGAGCAACGACTGCAGTGGAAAGAGTGGTGAGGGTGAAGGACTCGTGCAGACGGCTGCTGATGCAGCGGCCACGGTGGAGTCCGGCCTCGGTTGTGTCACCCTTGAGAATTCTCGAAGCTGCTGTCACGGTTTCTTTTGCTCAGGCCGCCTGGGGAAGGCTGAGCCTGCGTTTCCAAGATTTGTATTTGCAGTCGAAACTTGGCGGACACGGAATCCACACGACTAGTAGAGAGATTTTCAGCCTTGAAATTCGATTCGACTAGGCGGGACATTTCGAGATACTTGGACCTGAACCGCCTGCCATATACTAGTATTAGTCTTCTTGCGGGACGATGGAAGTGGCGGAGCACGAAATGGTGGATCTCAGCTAAACCATGTTGCCAACAAAGAGGAGACCTCGCGTGTGACGCGCGTGGAGCCGGGGGCGCCGCCATGACAGCGCGGCCCGATGTCGGGCGACGACGATGACCAGTGCGGTTATCGTCGGACGACGCTGCTCACATTGACCCATATGGGATGGGAAGCGATTGAGATGAGACTTGACTTGCACTGCAGACAAAACCATGGGAGATTCACAGCACAGCCTTGGGGCCCCGATAGCAAAAGTGCAGATATTTGGGTCCAGCACAGCAACTTTCAAGATTGTGCTGAACTCAATTCCGTGTGGCAAGGTAACCCCAAGCACGTGATCCAGAAATATCTTTACATACGTGGCAACCCTAAACACGTGTTCTGTGCTTTGTTGTTGCGGAAATTTCGGTTGTCACCCAATCCTGTGATGATCGTGCCTACTAGTAGAGATTTGATGAGGCAGCAAGTGTCGTTGCTGCTGCAGTGCGTGTGACGCGGCGAGTCCTTCACGAGTAAAGTTTGCAACTTTGCGTGACTCTCGGCAGCCAACATGACGTCGAGTCATGATGATGATGATGGCAACAGGCATATCATACACTCCAGCTCGACACCTCTTTCTTTCGTTTCTTTGCCGTGCACGGGTGCGGTAGTTGTCTATGTTCCTTCCAAGCAAGCACTCGCTTCTTTCCTGCTCTTCAAACCGCACGATCGAACAAACGACCAAGTCCCAGTTCTGTTGCCCGTGGGCAAATGGAGGGCGGACAGTACAGCACAGCACAACCAGTTGCGGCTGGGTACGCGTCACAATTGCAACACCGACCCCCTAGGGGATCGATGCTCGGGGTGTACAGTACTTCGTAGACCTGTGTATCCTTATCTCGCAAAGTTTCGCTAAGACTCTAGTCACGTCACCAAGGGAGATGTCTCTTCCAGATCGATCTCTTCACCGTCGTACTCAAATCAAGCGTAATCATTTACAACTTTCAAAAATCGTTTCTAACCCCGCAAAATCAGGATCGTGAGGACAATCGCGACAAATGTGGCTCTGAGGAGATTGATGTTCACAGCTTATGTGTGCGACCCTGATCATCGCAGGTGTTGCATTTGTGACGCGTCCTGCAAGCTTCTGCGAAGCCAGGAACCCCCACGGTGGTGCGATACAGCTTCCTGCCACCCTCCACGCAACTGGAGGGGCTGCGTAAAAAAAAAAAAAAATCTTTGCAGACCGTTAAAAAGTTTTCCGCGACGATACGATTGGCCTGGGGCAATACAACCAACCAGTACCAAAAATCATTCTCGTCACCAATATGACACTGCCCTCCCCCGTAACATGTTTTTTTCGGGGCATTTGTCCCTGCCTGGAACTACTTGTGTTGTCCCTAGGTCTCCGATTCGAGCGGGAACCAGTCTCGCACCCAGTTTACATGGGTGGAGGGGACATCACAGCACTACTAGTTCAGCGTTCTTTTGCGTTAGGTAGGCCGCACGGCACTGGCCATGTTCGAGTGAGAGTTCAGGTCCCCAGCCTATTAAAAAAAAAAGTGCCCTTGGAACATCGAGAAGCTGTGCGTAGCGGTACCACCTTAGCGGAGTTGATTCGACAGTACCCGGACATCTTTCCCGACGATCTGCCACCTGGAATGCCACCCAAGAGACCTGAGGACCACAAAATCCAGCTAGAACCTGGCAGCAACTTTCAAGATTGTGTTGAACTCAATTCCGTGTGGCAAGGTAACCGTAAATACGTGCTTCAGAAATATCTTTACATACGTGGCAACCCTAAACACGTGCTCTGTGCATTGTTGTTGCGGGAATTTCGGTTGTCACCCAATCCTGTGATGATCGTGCCTACTTCTAGTAGAGAGTCGATGAGCAGCAAGTGTCGTTGCTGCTGCAGTGCGTGTGACGCGGCGAGTCCTTCACCAGTAAGTTTGCAACTTTGCGTGACTGTCGGCAGCCAACATGACCGTCGAGTCATGATGATGATGATGGCAGCAGGCATATCGTACACTCCAGCTCGACACCTCTTTCTTTCGTTTCTTTGCCGTGCACGGGTGCGGTAGTTGTATATGTTCCTTCCAAGCAAGCACTCGCTTCTTTCCTGCTCTTCTTCAAACCGCACGAGCGAACAAACGACCAAGGCCCAGTTCTGTTGCCCGTGGGCAAATGGAGGGCGGACAGTACAGCACAGCACAACCAGTTGCGGCTGAGGACGCGTCACAATTGCAAAACCGACCCCCTAGGGGATAGATGTTCGTGTCAGAACATATAGCTTACTTGTTTGTGTAGGCTATAGTGGGGTATCCCATAGGGGGTACAACACAATTAGGGTTTCCTATTTGTACTCACTTCGTTCATACTCATTCCTCATTCTCGTTCAATTCTTCTCATGGAATCAGAGCAGGTCCCCTCCTAGGGACTGTTCCTAGGGCCCACCGAAGCGCGCCCCGAGGCGCGCGTTCTTTTTTTAGCGACCCTGCGTGTCGCCCCTACCGTCGCGCTCCCGCCGCTCCCTCCTCTTACGGCCGCCCGCCCTGGTGCCCTGACGGCCGCCCGCCCTAGCGCCCTGACGGCCGCCCGCCCTAGCGCCCGAGCGCCAACCGCCCTAGCGCCCTGACGGCCGCCCGCCCTAGCGCCCTGACGGCCGCCCGCCCCAGCGCCCGAGCGCCGCCCGCCCTAGCGCCCGAGCGCCGCCCGCCCTAGCGCCCGAGCGCCGCCCGCCCTAGCGCCCGAGCGCCGCCCGCCCTAGAGCCCTGACGGCCGCCCGCCCTAGCGCCCGAGCGCCGCTCGCCCTAGCGCCCTGACGGCCGCCCGCCCTAGCGCCCGAACGCAGCCCGCCCTAGCGCCCTGACGGCCGCCCGCCCTAGCGCCCTGACGGCCGGCCGCCCGCCCTAGCGCCCGAGCGCCGACCGCCCTTTCGCCCTTACGGCCGCCCGCCCGAACGCCTGAGCGCCGCCCGCCGTCGCCCCAACGCCCTAGCGCCCGACGCCCGCGAGCCGCCTGTCGCAGCCGCCCGTGAGCTCCCTGAGCCGCCCGCGCCGCCGTCCCTGAGCCGCCTGTGCAGCCGCCCGCGAGCCGCCAGTGGGCCGCCCGTCGCGACACCAGCGCCGCACGAGCCGCCCGTACAGCCCAGCAGCCCGAGCCGCCCGAGCCGCCCGCGCCGCCCCAGCAACCCGAGCCGCCCGAGCCGCCCGAGCCGCGCGAGCCGCCCGAGCCGCCCCAGCCGCCCGAGCCGCCCGAGCCGCCCGAGCCGCCCGAGCCGCCCGAGCCGCCCGCGCCGCCCCAGCAACCCGAGCCGCCCGAGCCGTGCCGCTGTTCCTGAGCTGTGTTCCTCTGCTGCTGCACTACCCGACTCTCCCAGCCCGGTGAGACTTTCAGCTGCTGCCATGGCCACCCCCAATGTCCTTACTTTTGACGCTGAGGGGAGGGCCATTGACTTTGCCGTCTGGATTGAAGACCTGCAGCTGTACTTACTATGTGATGCGATAGATGAGGTCTCTCTCTTTGACTTTGTCTCTGGCGCTGTCCCTGCCCCACCTGCTGATGCTGACTCTGCCGTTCGCTCCAAGTGGGCGACCCGCGATGCTGCTGCACGTCTTGCTGTGCGTCGCCACCTCCCTTCCTCTGAGCGTGCCCACTTTAGTCAGTGCAAGACCGCTCAGGCCTTGTACGACGCTGTAGTTGCACGCTACTCCTCCCCTTCCTCCGCTACCCTTAGCCGCCTCATGCTACCGTTTCTCTTCCCTGACCTCGCCTCCTTTCCCACTGTTGCTGACCTCGTTACCCACCTCCGTGCTAGTGACACCCGCTACCGCGCTGCCCTTCCTGCTGAGTTCCGCGCTGCGAACCCTCCTCCCATGTACATCACTCTCTACTTTCTCGTCACCCGTCTCCCTGAGTCCCTTCGTGCCGTTAGGGACCAGTTTCTCTCTGTCTGTCCCACCACTCTCACTGTCGATCTCCTTGAGGAGTCCCTGCTAGCGGCTGAGAAGAGTATTGTCGCTGTAGGGGCCTCTCGGGGTGACCCTCGCACCCCCATCTTTGAGGGGTGTGGTCCTTCCCCCCTGCTGCCCTCTGTCGCCTCTGCCGCTGCGGCCGACCTCACTGGTTTTGAGTCGGTCGGCGCGGCGTCTGCCCCCAGCGGCAGACGCCGCTCTGGCAAGGGCAAAGGGGGCAAGGGAGCGGGTGGAGCTAGAGGGGGCGGTGGAGGAGGCGGTGGGGGTGGCGGGGGGAGTGGGGGTGGCGGTGGGGGTGGTGGCGGGAGTGGAGGTACTGGTGGCGGCGGTGGAGGCGGAGGTGGCGGCGGAGGTGGTAGCGGAGGAGGCGGTGGGAGCGGTGGGAGCGACGGTCCTGGTGGGGGAGGTGGCGGTGGAGACGGGGGTGGCGGTGGAGGCGGGGGTGGCGGTGGAGGCGGGGGTCGGAGTGGCTCGTCCCAGCGGAGCAGCTCTGGGGGTGGTCAGCGCCAGCAGCAGCAGCAGCAGCAGCAGCCGCAGCAGCAGCCACAGC